ATGCTTTCCAGTACAGTGTCTTTCATATACGTGCTTCACGCTTTTAAGAACAAGCTCAAAGCTTCTATGCATGTACAAAAAGGCCAGGTCACATTTTTAATCTCACAAGTTAAAATACTCTAACGGAATGAAACAGGACTTTGTATTAAGGATGTACAAGTGATAACAAATATTCCTTCCTTCTCTGCATCCCAACACATCTAAAGATGCTACACCCTTGAATGCTGCTGTTGTCCCTCCTAAACACTGGAGCTTACAAGGCCGACTACCTTAAAACATATTATAACAGACCCTTTGACCATGTTACAGCATTTAGGATCTCTTATGTATCACATGGAATGCCTGGCAAGTGATGGGGTGATCAGTAAATGAATACTGGAACTATAAGGCCTGGTGCTTTAAGAAATATTTATGTTATTCAATATATGTGTATCAGTTCTTCCAAAACAGGTATCTGATTCCATTATATTTCCAATGCACAGTCTGTGCGTACACTCCCATCTTATCTGGGCATTCAAGATGTCTCAGTCCATTTAAACAAATAAGGATGAATTGTACTGAGACGTCCTGAAACAATGAAAGGACGCTTCATAGCGAATACAGCAAGACCTGCATCACAGTAAAGGTCATGGAACAAAAGTGTTACTCTCAAACACAGTCCGGTAGACACTAAAGGTCCAGGAAACTCAAGGACAAAGTGTCCTTTAACAAGTAAAGGCCTAAATAATATGACTTCATTCAAGGTTGAGTATTTAATGTACTTCTGTGAGATTAGCAATTAAACTCTGATATTTTGCACACATTTGTATGGAAATGCAGGAGTTCAGCATACCTGAGAGTTTAGCCCCAGGTGCTCTGCATACTTATGGAGTGGCCTGGAAGTTGTGTTACTCAATATGTTCATCCAGGGTAAAAATATTTACTTTTGGTGGTGCAAGTATGAAGGCCAATTTTTCCAAGTCAAAGCGACAATGTTTGATTTCTGGTTTTTTCATATCTTTGCAGTTTCTCTTGCCTTTACATGAGGCTTTATACAGGAAGGTAAAAGCATAATTTTAGAAGGACACCAACAACTACCCTGAATTACATGCAACTGAATTGCTAATAACTATGGTCCTCCTTTAAACATCCTGGTGCTTTTAACATTTACTTATGTTTATAGGCCGCTTTTCTTTCCAAGAGGGACCCAAAATGGCCTACAACTTTCTCCCCTCCTCCATTTTATCCTCACACCAACCCTGAGAGGTAAGTTGGGGGGAGCGTGTGGGACTGGACCAAGGTCACTCAGCTTGCTTCCATGGCAGAGTACGGATTTGAATCTTGGAATCCCAGATCCTAGCTGAAACACCATTATTTTATTTTATTTATTTTTTGGATTTAAACCCCGCCCTCCCCGCCGAAACAGGCTCAGGGCGGCTTACATAAAAGTGTTAAAACACTTTAAAACACATAAAATCTAAAGTGCCACTTCTATTGCAACCCAAAGCAGGCCAATTCCTTTGTTTCAAAAGGCTTAGCCTCCCTGCTAGCCCCCAACATGCCAGTCACCAGGCACCATTTTTTGTTGCTGCTCTACAATGGCTTAGCCATGGAATTAAGGTTAACTTGTTTTTCCTCCCTAATTAAGGAGGGCAGTAAGAGAGAAAAAGCTTGCCAATGCAAGTCAGTGTAAGAGGTGAGAAAGAATGTCCAAAGTAGAAAGCTCAGTATTACAGTTCAATGGGTTAAAAGGAACACACACAGACACTAACAGAATTTATTTCTCATTTTAATATTGTAGGGTTATCATTTATATAGTGCCAACAATGTATACGATCCCTTACAGAGTTGCAACAAAACAACTGGTCCCTGCCTCAAGGAGCTTACATTCTAAAATTCAGCACAGGGGAGGCAAGAAAGAGATGGAAGGAAGGAGGCAGAAAGGGTAGACTGGAAAAGTATTCAATTATATGCTTTATTTTCAGGAGAGATTCCATGGAAAATGTGGGTTTTGAGGAAGAACTGGAAGAGAAATGTGGTATCTTGTAGGCATTCCAGGAGACAATTCCAAGCAAACACAGAGAATAAGGGAGAAACTGTGTTATTTAAGGGAGCAGTGAACCTGAGTGGGGGAGGACAAGCAGGTACATAAAAGGGAAATGTGGGGAGAGGCAGCAAGTCCATCAAGAGCTTTCAAGGAAACCACAAGCAACAGTTAGAGGATCACTGAGGATTTCACATGGAGTTTCACATGGTCTGAGCTGTGGGAGGGGTGAATTATTTTGGCAGCAACAGCCTGAGGTGTGACAACAGAAGGCCAGAAAGGAGAAGGTTCCAGTAGTCAAGGAGTGCATGAGCTGAGACTTTCATCTTGGGAACAAAGAGGAAAGTTTGTATTTTAGAAATTTTGTATATAGAGGAGCAAGAGACCATCTATGGAACTGCAAGGACGGGTAGATTCAAAACAAACCAAGGCTGCATAAATGGTATGGATAGAGACACTGGCATGTAAAGACAGATGGAAATTTCTGTTTTGAGCATACTGAACTTGAGGCTCATGAAACAGCCAAGTAGAAATATCAGACAACAAGAGATGCACAACTGGATAGAGGGGGGAAGTTGAAGTGGGCAGAACTGAATGTTATCAGCATATAAGTGGTGCTTAATGCCCTGGTATTGGACATGGCCATACAGGAACACAGAAATAGCAGGTGGCAGAGAACAAACCCAAGCAGAGAGAAAACTTTGCCCTGTGGAAACACTGAATGAACTAAGAAACTGGATGAGGACAGGCATGGAAACGAGTAATGGAGGCAGCCAGGTAGAAGAGGTTAATCAACTGTAATTCAATAGGGATGACAACAGCAAAGACTTTGGATCCATCAGTAAGGAGACAGCAATTTTGGCAAGGGCAATATCAGTGGACTGCAGAAGCTAGAATCTAGATGGAAGAGTCAAGAGGAGGTGAAGAAGAAAAAGTTACTTGAGTAAATAGCACATTCCAGGACTTTGGGGACAAAGTGAAATCAGACTGCAGCAGCAGCAGCAGCAGAAGAGAAGAGACTGGATTTATATCCTGCCCTTCACTTGGAGACTCAGAGCAGTTTACAATCTCCTTTCCCTCCCCCTCCCCACAACAGGCACCCTGTGAGGTAGGTGGGGCTGAGAGTGCTCTTTCAAGGACTGCTCTTGAGAGAACAGCTCTGAGAGAACTTGTGTCTGACCAAAGGTCACACTAGCAGCTGCATGTGGATGAGAGGGGAATCAAACCCATTCAAGCCAGATTAAAGTCCACACTCGTAACCACTACACCAAATTGGCTCTCAGTCAAGAGGGGAAGAGTCATTCAAAGGGAAATGAAGGAGATGATGCTGTGCTTGAATGCAGTATGGAAGCAGCAGCAGGAGAACAACAGGTTAATTAGATGGTGAAGATGAAAGATAATTGGGTGATGATGACAACCAGGAGCCAGGAAGGAATACTAACTACTCATGTGAAGGACTTAAGATAGGGTAGTCTTCACCATGAGACAGACCAAAGAAGGAGAAGTGGTAGCTGGAGAGAAAGGAATGAGTAGTCTTGACTGTGGTAGAGATCAGAGTAGACAGCTTCAATATTTTTACTGAAGGAAATGAAGTTTTCAAGAAAGGAGCAACAGTGAAGGAGACTTTAATGGGGCATTTAAAAAGAAAAGCTGCACTAAGTATCCCTAGATTTGGTACAGATCTAAAAATTTGGCTTCTACTTTTAAGATGGGTAACGCTAAGTATGAACACCAGATGACAACTTCCTATACACATTACAGCCTACATTCAGAGGTTTATTTCTATAATAAATATCAAAAGAAATATACTATGCAAGGGGGCTGCTGAAAAATGAGTAATGTAGTAAGGAAGGAGAAATTATTCTCTTCTGATCACACATTAGTAAAATCAGATGACATGCTTCTTTTTATTTAAAAAAGCTAGATCCAAGGAATGGGACAACAGAGGCTGAATCTCAGTGTTTATATATATAAAGACCAGTGCTTTCCCAAACACCTGATAGCTGAGGAACACTTTCTTCATGTTTACTGTCAGGAAAGTTTATTTCAGTGTGTAGGAGTTACTGTTCTGAACAAGCCCTCCTGACTGGAAGAAAGCCAGCCCAGAGCAATGACTCAGGCAGAGATGCAACACACAGTTTTTTTCTGGAACGTACCATTTTGTTCCATTTGAATCCTGAAAGGCTGAATGCTCCAATCACATCCAGTGAACAAATGGGAGAGAATTACTTTCCACAGCAGAGGTCAACTAGAAAGACTGGGCACTCTTTTCCATGCACCCTGGCCTCATGAGTGTTAAGTTGTTGCATAGTGGCAGTTCCCTTACTCCACATTCATACACACATGGGACACAGAGAGAACAATAATTTGCAAATTAATGGTCAAACTGTGGGTTGTGCAATCAGTGACGACAGATCTGCAAGTCTGCTAGTCTTAATATTTTACTCACCTACTTACCAGCTAGTTATGGTATGCAAAATTCTCCCACTTGATACCTTTTACTGGATCTCAAACTGTTTATTTACAACGACTGGTCTAAACAAACATCTGAAGTCTAGGCAAGCAATACATAGCTAGAATTCCTTCATTCGGTAATGTACCTCTTCAGATCAAAAGCTAGCATAATAAGCTAATGTTTTGTAGTCCAACCACACCTTAACAGAGTTTTGGTTTTGTACAATACCTTGTTATTTAAACGTTACCTGAATGTAAACAGGGTGTCAAGACACAATCGGATTAATTATCTGATTCCTAAAAGGAGTTAAAACTTCTGGCAATGTTTCTCTTCCCTTTGAGCAGTATTCAGGATTTAGTCCCGCTTTAGGTGAAGCTAGGAAAAGAAAGCTTCCTCATTTTCCCCTGTGTGTGCACTTTCCTTTTATTTCCCTCTTGCTTTGAGCGAAGCTATCCAGCTTGCCATCCTTCGTTAGCTGTGGCAGGAGCTCTACAAATCGGCAGAGAGGTAGAGAAGACTTACGCTGGTCACTCGACGGTAGATCTGCGCAGCATTTTGGCACTCAGAATAAGGATATTCAGACGTAGCCATCTCAAGCATACACATTCCAAAAGCATATACATCAACGGATTCATCGTATTTCTCCTCATACATCTCGGGTGCCATGAACTCTGGGGTACCTTAAATTAAAAGAACGATTCAGACTCTAAATGTCTCAAAGCGAGCAGAGGCTGCTGGCGTTACTCACCGCAGAAGGAAGCGGACGGGCAGACCTGTGAGAAAAGAAGAAGTGGAGGCAAAAAGAAGAGGGAGGGTGCCCTCAGTCACTCTGTTTTATCAAGGTACTCCATAGGTCTTCCATTGCAAGGCCTTTGTAAGAAGTGAGGAACTGACAGTTAGGGGGGTTAATATGTTCACCATTTAGATATGATATAACGGAAGAGAATCGGAGCCAAAATAGAAAGCTTTAAGTTATCCTACAAGGACAAGTTGAGTAGCAGAATGGAGATAAATGGAGAAAAATAAAGTGAAAGACTAGCTAGGCTGCGAACCAAATACTTGTTAGCCTTACTTACCTTTCCTCCCTTCGAGAAAGGAGGCACAGTGCTGGTTTCAGCATGCTCAGTCTGCCCTCTGCTGCAAAGAATTAGTACTGGTAAGAGTCCTCAGCTAGTCTCTGACCTGTAACACTCCATTTATTCTGAACAGTGTCACTTTAAACAAGGCTTTGCAATGAAAAACCTGTGTCTATGAATAAAGTCGTCTTAAATTTTTTTAAAATGTACTGCAAAGGCCACTCACCAGAGCCCTTTTCATATACTTACCATTTCACCTGCAGTACATTTTATAGGCCTACTGCAGATACAGGCAATAGTGAGGGACATCCTACAGGCAAAAAATACTCAGAAATATAGAGAGATTGAGTTACAGGCACAGAGCGTGAGATTAAACAAATCCTGAATTAAATACAAATTTGTCGGTCATGTGTTTATCCCTGAAATATCAGATCAATGCACATTCCCATAAGAGGGGAAGGTGCACTACATGATCAGGGATACTTAGAACCAGAACCTGCACGTTTACAGTAAGAGTTATTTCCTGCAGGCAAACCAGATTTTAGGCAAATTTACAGATGAGTTTTTAAATTCATATTTTCCCTCCCACAGTTCGATGTTCAATACTGTCACAGCCTTAATTGGAAAATAATTTTACTAATGCAACTGTTCAAAATTTTAGAAAGTGGCAGTTTCCCAATTGAAAGAGTTCATCATAACACATGGAGAGGAGACTGTGTTCAGGAAGTCTGTCATTTCCCACTGAATGCTCTTAATTTCCACCTGCTTTTAATGTCCCTAGCCTGGCTGGAAAGCAGGAAATGTTTCATTGTGACAATAGCCAAGATCATAGTGAATATGAATCTGTACCCCTGGAAAGCTAGGTGTTAGAACTTCTGATACAGACCTTCAGAAGTAACCACTGATTGCATTCTTTAAAAAAAATAATAATAAGGTAGGTGCAGACTAAAAAGGGCCACCTTCTCCCTTGTTCGCCTGCATCCTTTACAATCAGGATAGCAGAACAGAGCTGCTAAAACCAATCCTCAGTTGTCTCTGACTAGATTACAAGCTGCTATAAGTAATATAATTTGAAACATTTAAATGCAACAGCCCAAGAATTTTAGGTAAGAGACTATGCTTTACATCCTTTCCCCCAAAAACAATGAGTCAAACTGATGTACCCCCTCCCTTAATCCCAGCTGTCAAGTACTGTGCCAAAAATACAATTACTTTGGTTTTATCAAAGTTGTTCTGCTAAACTGTAAAAGTCTATATTGCTATGATTCTTTCAGATAATTCCCAATACCAGGTGCTGCCCCCCCCTTTCTTTTTTGGAAACAAGGCCAATGTCGTCAATGGTTTCAAGGATGATTTTCTACTTTATGTGAGTGTAAAGTTCTACCAACACCCAAATCGTCAAGTCAGAGCTGCCAGAACAAAATATAGCCTTACCTATTACACTCTTTGCAAAAGAAGCTCGCTTCAAGGTCGCCAGACCCAAGTCTCCTATCTTGACGGATCCTGTAGGGCCAGTGATAAAGATGTTGTCACACTTCAGGTCACGATGGATAATGGGAGGTGTGCGCGTGTGCAGGAACTGTAAGCCCTTCAGTATTTGCCGGCACCAGCTTCGTAGCACTTTAATTTTCATCACCTTAAACCTTTTTAAGTATCTATAAAAGAGAAACCAGAATAAAAATGTGCCTCAAGCTTATTCTCTGATTTCATGTTATTAAATTACAGGAGTGTACCATAAAGACCTAGGGAAGACACAGTAACAATCAATCACATTCAATGGGCTAAAATCTGGATAAAGCAAAGTATTAGTACTGGAAGCCTGTCCTTTATTGTCGTAGGTGAAGCTGATTAGTAAAGTAAGGTTTACATTGGGGCAGAGGGGACAACAAAGAACTGGAACATAACCAGCAGTAGTTGCGTCAGTCATTAAGCTAACAGGCTAGAATGTTCAGTTGAGGTACAACTTTTCAACCAAACCCTTACAGTCATTTTAAAAGTATATCATTCGGATTTCCATGGGCAACCAATTTTTTTTAACAAAGCAGTCACTGGGTTTTCTGTACATTCTAATGATACATCATGAAACAAAACAGCAGAGCATTTTAAAACTTTAATTGTTCTGACCTTCTAAAGCATTCAGATTTACATTATTAACCAAGTTGTTTAAACTTATGAATTATGTTCCTTGTGCATGCTCTGTTTACAAAAGACTTTAGAAGTGAAGCTAGCTGAAAAATGTTTTGGAAAAGACAGTAGTCATGCCAAGACGACAGCTTGGGCTCAAAGCCTTTAAAAGAGAAGAGAACTGGCAACAGACAAGCACCTTTTAAGAGCCAAGAATTCAAGTGAAGATGCCAAAGCAGAGCCAGACTACCTCTAAGCATGTGTCTCACAGACTGGGCATGAAAAAAAATATTGAATGATGTGACAGAAGCAAATGAGCCAATAAAGCAAACAGTCTCATAAGAGCCAGAGACTAGTCCCTCCCCAACCCCCTCTCTTCTATAACTGTTAGGAGGTGTGGAGGAGAATATAGAAAATAATCCTAACTCTTATTCCAAGCTGATCTCCAATTTCCCTTTGACACCATCTATTGAATGCTTTAATGGGGTAGTTTTCACAGGAGGTTTAGCACTAGTAACACAATTTAAAAGTCCCTCCTTTGAACTACAGAAATCGTAGTATATCATTCTTAACTAGCAGCTGTTCAAATGATTTCATCAAGAGATGCCCCTGTAATGAAGCAGATAGGCAATGGCTAGAACATGCATGGAATTGCTGAAAAGTAATCATGACATCCATTGTGGGATCATGTAGTAGTGACATCCAATCTAGACACAGAACAACCCCCCCCCCAACACCTGTCATGGATGGTGACTTGGGGAGCACCCTTTGAATCTTCCATGGAAACCCTGGAAGGCAAACAGGTCTGTCAATACAGGGTTTTTTAAAGCCACAGACTGCATCCTCGGGCTGAAGCAACTTTATTCAGTGATGGCCCCACAGTTTGAAATAATTTTTCTTGGCATATGACTGGGATATTATCGGGTCATTCACAGAATGATTGCTTCTTTATTTCTCCAGATTTTTATTTCAACATGAACAGAATGCCTGAATGACCCTGGAAGCAGCCACACACACTATAGATAACCTGAAAAAAAGCACATTGGGGGAAGACCAGGACAAGAACATGCCATGTAGAAGAAGGTGATTGTGCCATTCTCACAATCCGTACAGCTGCAGCCAGACAAGGTCAAGCACTCTGTGGGAACATCATGGTCCTCAGGAGCTTTTAATTTGTCTGATCATCAGTCAGGTAAAGGCAAGTTTAAACCTTACCCGAGGATCCTGGCTGGGCTCCTCTGATTAATGTTTCAGTAGCTAAGTGGTTGCTACAATGACTTCATAGCTGTCACTCAGTACCCAACAAAAACTTCTTTTCATTCAGAGCTGATGTTCTGCAATCCCTTCCCTCCCCCATGTCACCCACAGAAAGCAACAGTAAAGTACAACAGTGTTCTCAGCATTAAGAATATGAAAGTAGTGCACGCAAGTAAGAGCTGATTTTAATAAGAAAGATTAATCGGCAAGTATGGTAGTTACCATATACTGAATTAGCGTCTAAAGACTTTCAGATAACAGAAATTTCTCATCAAGGGAAATACACAGTAATTATAATGCAACTGTTATAGAGAGAAAGAGAAAATGCATTTAGGGGAAAGTCAATGAATCACACTTGATGCAAATTATTAATGCCTCTTTGGGACTTTTAGGCACCTTTACTCTGTACATACTTGACTAACAGCAGCCACCTCTCAATTTTCCCTGAAATCTGGTATGGTAGCTTTTGCGTTATAAACTGAAGCCCAGCTCATACAGATAGTACACATTCATTTAACTACAGTTGTTCAAACAGCAAAAAAAGGCAGCTTGGAATTCTGATGGATACGTGGGCTTACATATCCTGGATGTACCTTGATTAGGCGATACTGGATTACTTGGAAAGGTGAGAGGAAATACTATTCTAGTCTTAGCCATAAAATATATGCACAGACATATCATCATGACTATTCAAGGTAAATGTTAGAAAATATCTATGTTTTAATTAGCAATACCTTTTAAAACGAAGCTTAATAAAACCAGGATCAATAAAACTCACGGATGCAAACTACATGAACGGTGAAGTCTTTTAAGCAACTGGCAAGCTACAGTATATAACTCATACACTGGCTTCAGCCTAGCAAACTACATGTTGTGTATAGCCCTCACAGGTCAAAACAGAAGTCGTGGTTATCCAATGGAAGTTGCATTTGAGGGTGCAAAAGCTTCCCTCCAAAAAATCTAATATTCCCCAATGGGAAAGAAATGTATTTTCTAAGTATGCCCTTTTTTGGACATCAGATCTTACAAAATGGAACAGGTTTGACTATATCCCATTTCCATAATTTATTTATTCCATCATTAGTAGAATTCAAAGGCTTTTCCTCACTATACCCTTCCACAAAAAAATTGCCTACAGTTCGGGGATTCTAGTTCTGAACAGAGCTTAATTGTTTGGACCTCCCATGCCTTGACTGTGGTGCACAAATATATTCAGGGCAACTAATAGACTCAAAACACGGGGGAAGTGGTAAATGCTTTACCAAACACTAGAGGACACCCTTGCTGCTTATTTTCCTCAGTTCAGCCCACAAGGATGGCAAGTTGCAGCTGCAGAGCTCAATTGCAGCCTGGAATGTCAAGCATTTGCTGTACTGGAGGCATGATATAGCTTGCCAAACTCAGCTCTCAAAGGCGCTTATACTCCTCTTTCACAGTACAGTGTTGGCGACAATTTCAAGAGTTTCATAAATTTAAGATGCCAGAAGGGAAAATAAGAGCCATGCAGATGAGCTTCTTTCTCACTAAGGGCCCGCTAATCAGTTGTTCCATAATTATGAAAGACCTTTGCCTGTGTTAATAGAATACGCTTATTTTTAATATCTTCATTTACATGTTTATCATTAACATAGGGCTTTAGCAAAACTATACTCACGTTTTCAGAGTGCCAGATGTCATAAGCTCTGTAACCAGAACAATACACTTCTTTCCCTTCACTGTTGATTCCCAGGAATCATAGAACCGTACAATGTTAGGATGCTGAAGCCCTTTCAGCATTTCAGCCTCCTCCTTAAATCGCTGCCGTTCAGATTTGGACAACTTCCGATCCTAAAAGAGAAAATGAGAGAGGAACATATGAACAATGTAAAAGAAGAGAAATCAAACCTCATCTATAGGCCAGGCAGCAAGTAGAAAACCTGAAGCTTCTGCCTCTTTAGAGGAGAAGTAAACACTATAAAAATGCAGGCTATTGCTACCCTGCCTTTCTACCCACTTTCTAGTAATATCTAACAGAATAATGCATTGAAGTGCTATGTTGCAGCATTTTTTGCATTCACTTCTGAAAGCCAATGTTGTCTAGCCATGTTATACCTGATACTAGAAAAATGGGGAAAAGAGGTACCAGAATAGTAAAAGCTACTTGCCCCTCATAACATCAAGTCCTGCCCTCAAGAACAAAGACGAGAGAAGAGTGTCACAGTTCACCCAGTTTCTTGATGCTTACAGATATTCTTCTGCCTTTTAAACAGAACTAAAAGAGGATTCATTTCTGAACTCTTATTACAAACCACTTATCCAACTCTGAAATTACTGAGTTTAGCTTCCTCGCATTAACTAATCCACTGCCAATGTTTGAAACTACAGTTCATTCCTAAAAACGAATGTCAAGATTCTTAAAGGCTTTAACATATTTCATGACTGCTCAGTCTTATGGGGGAAAGCTACCAATTTCCATATGCTCAAAACAATGGGACTGAGACCAACAACTGGCCTAAATGTTCCTTAAACGTTATAGCTGAATAAATAAATCACAATTAGCTTCTACTTATGAGATATCGGATTAGCTAAACTACCAGTTCTCTCTGACACACACATGCCACACCTTTATAGATGCTGAACTAGAAGCTCTTCTAGATATGAGAATTAAGTAAACCCAAAACTACAACATTTATATCCCACATTTCCACCAAGGAGCTCAAGGTGGCATACACAGATGAGGTTATCCATCCTTCCCCATCCACAACCACCCCATGAGGTAGGTTAGGTTCATCACCTAAATGGGGATCCAAATGAGTCTCCCTGCTCCAAAACCAAAACTACATCATACTGGTTCTCTTCACACTTTTCCTACAAGAAGGTTTTGCTATATACAAGAAATAAATACATTATGTATATACAGTTGGAGGCTACGATTGGGACTGTATAGGATTAACCCACCCACGCCTGTCCAGGGGTGAGAGGTAATCCTGTACTTTTTCAGTACATTAAACAACAACCCACAGAGGTAGGCTACCCTCTCTGGATTCAGAACAATATGCCACCAGAACCTCTACAATAATTCCCCTCCCAACCTGAGATTAGAGGCTCAAAATCTCAGTTGGCATCTAGGGCTTAACACATTAGCACCTCATTCCCAGAGAGGCACACTGAATGCTCTATGGTAGCTTGTGGTCAGTTAGGCACAGGAAATAGACTTGGAATCCCAGTTACAACATCAAGGACAGGTTAGAAATCAGAATAATTTTTTATTCAGTCCAGAGCATTGCAAGTAAACTATGAAATATTTCAAAACAAGAAAGGCTAGGGCTGTTTGCCTTAACTACACAGTAAAAGATGCATATTTACCAAGTTCAGGAAAATCCAAACAGTCCAGAGTAGCACCAAGGGATTTTGAGTAGAAGAAATCCCATCTTTGCCAACCATGTGCTCAGCTCACAAAACATTTCTTTGTCTCCCAGAGAGACAGCATTTTCCAGGTAGAATAAAACAATTAGAGGGAACAGGAGCAGAACAGAGAGAGAGTCTCTCCCATAGGGAATGACCAGTTATAGGCCAATTCCAGTCACAAATTAGCCCTGGCCAGGAGCCAATTGCGAGTGGGAATGGGGTGTGTCCATTGTTGGTTGCCATAGCTGCAACACAGGAATGGCTAGGAGTTTGGAGGCCCCTCCTGCCGTCAGGTGACCCCAAATTCCAGCTACTTCATCGGCTACGTGACATTTTGCATGTGAGGCAGAGGCAAGAGCCATCAGGTCTGCCTCTTCCACTTAGAGGTGTGAAAGAATGTGTGGTTATATGGCATGGTTATAAAGTTTCTCCGGCCAGTTGGTCTGCCCTGGACCATTTGTCCGGCAACAGGAAACACAACATGTCATCAGAATGTAATCACAGGAGGAGGCATGAATTATAGAAAGCAGAAAGCAAAATTTCTATACAGGGACACGGATTCTTATGATGATGCACATGAGTTCCATATATGGAAAGAACAGTCTTGCAAGAAAAGTCATGAGTAAAACATCCCTGAAACCCTGGGGGGGGGGGGGGGGGGCACCATTTTATTACTAATGCCAAATGTAAGAAACAATTTAGACTATGATTAAAGTGGTTGCCATATATTCTAACATTCAAGCAATTAATTTCCTACCAGTAATATAAGAGCCATTATTCAAATGAAGGCAGTATTGGTCAGAGCGGCTATAGCTTTACAATTAAGAATACCAGGCAACAGATAGTGAGACTTTCACCTTGGACAACTGCCGCCAGTCAGAAAGCACTGACCTTGATACTAATGGTTCCACTCAATGTGTGTTCTAAGAGGTAAAAAATTAAACCCATATAGCGCTTTCCACAGCAACTTCTGACTATCCTGCAGTCCTCAATTAGAAGGATGAAAAAATGCCCAAGACTGTCTACTGCTGTACTGTAGGAGCACAGAAATATAGAATGCATTAGTATGTATAGAAGTAAACTCCCTGAGAACTTCAGCATCAGTTTAAACAAAGGAAAAAAGTATGCATCAAGGCCTTACAGCTGATATACTTGAAAGCAGGTAGAACATGCCTGACAAGATCTGAGGCCAAAGACGTAGCTATGTAAGATTTTAACATAGCACGGAATACAGGGAATTTCAGCGCTCAAAGGAAAAACAGCAAATCCCAGTAAACTAGAAATAGAATTATGTTATATGCTATAAGAACTCATTCCAGTTTAACAGAGATATGTGCCATTGTGGAAAGGAAAATTGGCATGTGTAGGTAGTCACCAAGGGCTCTTCAAAACAGGATACCATTCTGCAAACTCTTTCCAATCTAAATAAACAGTCCTAAATACTTACAGGGTAAGGCAATAATCTGTTGCTTTAAATCACTGGTACTTGGTTGACCCTAATTCAGGTTGTATCTGCGTTATCGCACTATTAAGGCACACGACTAAAGTGTTGTGTTTTTTTTGTTATTGCCAGGCCACTGACATTGTCCTTCAGAACTAATCCCTCCTTTTGTTAACAGTTAATGTGTTTTCCTATTATTGCTCAGCCATGCTAATCTTTAAATACATTGTACTCACCAACAAAACTTCAACTTTTCCAGAAATCCAACTCCAGTATCAAATTGATGCACACATACTACTTCCATGCAGAATGCTGAGCAATCTTAAGGCTGTATTTCCCCAAAGAAAACTACCCCAAGCAATTCCAGGGCCTCACAACACCACAGTTAACAACTAGAACTATTTATGCCTTCCAGAAGATCAAATTTCACTGCTAGAACTATGTTGTGACAGTATCTTAATGGAGAATACCTGCCCTACGGCCATCCTTCACTAAGTATTGCTAATATACACATACAGGAAGAATTAAAGCTGCTTTTTTGCTACTTTATAAGCAGAAGCAAACATGCAACAGTAGGCACTGATGCAGTGGACTACACTTTCACAATCAGAACATCTTCTGACTTTCAACTGGTTATAGCTGTATAGAGATGATCTGAAGTAACAACTCTCTCAGCTAGGATTTGTAAATGATATTTATTAGACCATTCACAAGTAGGCCTTAGGAGAGCACTCTGTGCCTTTACTGCATATTGCAAAGAGGAGCAGCTTGCGATAAACTACCAAAAAACAAAAATCCTCATCTTTACCAAAAAAGCAACAACACACACCTAAATCATAGATGGCAAATTGTGGGCCACAGCACTGAACAAACAAAAACCTTCAAATATCTTGGCATAGGCTTCCAGTAATCTGGACACTGGAGAGCTCAGACACTGCACATTGCAGAAATTTCCCACAGAGCAACCTCCGCCATTATGAGATTCCACTTCACAAAAGGGGCCTCCTTTATCCTTGTAGCAATCAACATTTTCCAAGGAAAGGTTGTCACCCAGCACTTGTACGGTCCCCAGCTTTGTGTTTATTTTTTTTAAAAGGCACCTACTGGAAGCAGTACGATCTAAGTTCCTATGAACAATTTTTGGTGTCCCGCGATGTATTCCAAATACCCTTTCTCAGACTAGAGGCTAGGCTGATCTCCTTGGAGACACGTCTGTGACTACTCGCATCCACCTATTAGCTAGAACTCATCTTCAGTCTAGTGGGTCTAGTACCCTAGGTCTTCGTCAACAGCCACCATGCAGCCTAGCTAAGAGCAGTGGAGGGGAAACTCCGGAAACACAGCCTCTCCCCTCAAGCTTTACTACATCTTGACTATCAACAAGCAAAAGAAACAATTAAACAGCGGTTCTAGGACCATGCCCTACAATCAGATAGGACATGGATACAGAAATATCCAGTTATCCTGCAGCATGCCAAACGTTTTCAACCAGCAGGTAATCTTAGATCCCTTGAGTTCACCAAGTACCGAAGAATCATCACCCCCGGCACGCTTTAATACTTTACTTTCAGCCCCTCTGGAAGGCAGATACCTTTGTGTCCTGCTTCCTCAACGGCTTTGTCCATGTCATACGGGGAAAGCAGAGTCCACTGAACACGTTCTGCTGCATTGCCAATTCTACAGTGACATTCGAGAACAGTATACTGCTCCAATTCTGTCATCTACACCAGGAAAATCTGAACAACTCTCTGTCTCTCTCCTCCTTGCAGACTCTTCTCAGGAGATAACACACAAAGTTGCCAAATTTTGCCTACGGGCATGCGGGATACGCAGGTGACTGATTACATCCCAGTAATTCTTTCTGTCTGTTAGATGAGGGTTTTACTTTTCTTGCCCCCCTTCTTAACCTGTGTTCACTTATTTTATGTTTGCTGCATAGCATGCATTTTACTACTTGCTGATTTCTCAGAGCTGATCCTGAATTAAAATAAAATTTCAA